ATCTCTGGATCTCTGTCCCGACCCTGAGTCTGTTGAACTTCCTCCTGCTCCTCCTGAAACCCTGGCATTTGCTGCTCTTCTTCCATTTGTCGACGTTGTAGACGTTCCTGCTGTCTACGTGCCGCTCTCCTCTGTCGACTGTTCATGTTCTGTCCTCTTCCAGTGTTAACCATGCTGTTAACATCGAAAGACAGACATCAGTACGAGTTTAAATGAACCGTAAAAGAATTCAACGAATCCTAAACATGAGCTCTATTAAAAAAAACGCTACGCGGAAGTCTTAATACGAAACGTCCTAGAGACACTTGAACCTGGAGTGCTCTGATACCAACTGTGATACCCCTCGGATCCGAGACACGGGTTGATCAGGCCCAGGCCCAAAGCCGAAGGAATATCAAACAATTAAAGTATTTTAAAACGAACACAGATGACAAAACCAATAAAGATAGAATAAAACTGAAAGAAATAATAATAGTAAAATTCTCCAAGTAACTGAAAATTTAAAACTCCAATCCTCCAAAACTTCAAAGTTACAACTTGGGAATCCACTGATGGACCCCTAACTAAAAATTCAACTGAAACTGAAACTGAAAATAGATAATACTAGAAACATCGGGGGAAGTCCTACGTAATCTGATGAAAGTGAGACTGTCCTCGACAAGCACGATCAAGCTCTAAGGCTGGAACCGTCCTGTACCTGAAAAGAATAATAAAGGAGTGGGTCAGACCCACGAGCAAGTTCTAATCTAACTGCAATCCATACAGTGACCCGATACGCAGATACAACGTAGACACCTCACAATATCTATCTAGTCCACACGTATAAATATATCCACACTAAGGGACATTCACTAGTCTATAATAGGGGTCTCAACCTGAATAGAAGGCAACATGCGAATACGCACCCAAAGGTGGGCATGAGTACCTAGACCTAACAGGGTACACCTCAACCTATTATAACCAGCTACGCATCCACTGCATATACGCACCCTAACCAACGAGTCTGAGACTCAAGCTCAATTCGTGGTACCATAAACATAGATATAAAGTCCGTCCAAATCCAGGGTAAGCAGTTCAACTATTTATTAAACTGACCTACAATAAACCAACTAGTTAGTCACTCAACTTATTCAGTTGATATGACTTAACTACCATCCGTTAAACCAGGAAGTCATCCAACTTAGTTACAGCTGATCTGACTTAGTCACAATTAGGATTCGATATCTTACAATCCATTCCATTAATCCATTAGGTTAGGTCTTAGCGTGTTGAAGCTAAACCATCCCTAGTATGCCACCGTCCCATACCGGTGCATATAATCCTCCATATCAATGCCAATTACAATATAGAAATCATAATTTAGTAAATTACATTCCAAAACATTATCCAAATAATTGCAGGAAGATATTTGATGTTCTAGCAATTAAAAATCCAAACGATAATCCATATCATTGCAGAAAGTATTTACTATTTCAACAATTAGCCTCCAAAGCATGCATAGGTCAACTTCAATACATCAATGACCCTATAATGTATTTAGAACAATTTATAAACATATTAGATCCCACTGGAATGCTCAAAAATAAGCTTGAGCAATTAAGTCTTCTTCCATCCCTTAATCGTGTACAATGTGCATAAATTTTATACAGTTTGTTCCGTTAATTTAGAGGTAAACTTTAATCAATTAAAAGTCCTATTAATACCCAAAGTTAACTTCTTAATCACTATGGCAAGTCCCAATATTTTTTTTAAAACAGTTCAAACACACAACAGCTTCAAACAGTGCATTAAACACCTTCCGGAAGCAAACTGAGCGAGAACAGGTTATGAACAAAGGTGGAGCCGGCTCCAATTTTTATTGGAGCCTGCTCTACTTGGGTAGAGCTGGCTCTACACCTCCTAGAGCCGGCTCTACACTAGGGGGGAGCCGGCTCCCTCCTCCATGGAGCCGGCTCTCTCCCTCTCTGAGAACCGTCTGTCCGTCTGTGACTTCTGCGACCTTCTTCTTCAACGCCGGCCGCTTCCCATCCATTTTATTTAGTTTTAGACTGTTCCCAAGGGTCCTAACTATGTCCAGTATAATCCCCATGGAGTGTTTACAACAGTTGAAATCAAAAACAAAAACTACAAGTTCCAAAGACAAATCATGCTTAGGAAAAACAACTACTGTAATGAACTTTCAAAAACCCATCACCGAATTTATTCAAGGCAAAGATAAGGTTAAATTGACATATAAAAACATGCTTAATTCAATTATTGATCCATTAAAACCCTAGAGTATGTCTAGGTGCACAGAACACAGGCCAACGGGAAGGAGGAAGAAAAGAACTTGCCTGAAGTTTTGGACTCAAAACTTGTCGCCGTCTTCCCAACGTTCGGTAACCACTGCAACACTATCTAGCCTCCTAATACCTCTGCCCTTCCCTTCTCCTAGGTCCAACCCTGAAATCCCCGTCGAATCCCACACCAAACAAAATCTGTTCTCTCAAAACCTCACTCTGTATCTCCCTGTTGTTATGTTACGCGAGTAGAGTCTTTTTTTTTTTTCCAATCCTTAATACCAAGAAGCATGTATATATACAGGCGTACAAATCCCAAACCCTAATGCTTGTTTAATAGAGACAGAGCCCTCCTTGGCCCATAAACCGACCTATGATATATACATTGCCGGCTATAAACTGAAACCCTAATATAACTATATGTGTCTCATACAGTCCCGTGAAAACCAAATTAAACAAAACAAATAAATTTACCACTTAAATAATTAACTATAATTAAATAAATTAAATCAAAATAATTAACTCAATTAAATTAAAACAATTAAATCAATTTACTAATTAAAACACTTAAACAATTAAATAATCAATTTACTAATTAAAACACTTAAACAATTAAATAATCAAATTAATTCAACTAATCACACATAATCAAATAAAATGCAATTAACTACTATATTAAAATCACCGTGATATCCTTTTTAAAATTAGGGGTATTACATGGGTATTGCGGGTCCCAATAGAAAGATATATAATGGTTTTGTGCTTGTCTTATTATATTTATATATATAAGATATATATATGTAATGTCAGTTGTGTGCTAAGGAAGCTGCCAGACGAAATCAAAGGGAAAGGAAAGTGAGGTTGTAAAGTGGAAGTGGCGGGACCCACTTGGAGGGTTACTTGGGCATGATTTCCTTGACTATAGTCTTTTTGTGCACGTGGTGTTATCTTTTGGGTGAGATTATATTTGTACGGTGTATAAAATGATAGACTCAAAAGTAAGGAAAGAGAGATACTTGTGTGGTGAACTGTTGTGAAGTTTATGTCAGTGGAAAAGTCTTTATATTCTTTGTGCGCGTTTTGAGTTTGGGAGAGCATACAGCAAAGGGAAAATTAGAGATGCACAGATAAAGAGTGAAGGCCAAGATTGACAGACGAGGGTCGAGAGTTTGAAGAATTGATGATCCTAATATTTCTTTTACAATGGATTTAGACTTTGCCACTGAAGGCTAAATCGACAAGCACGTCGAGATTTACGTTTTGATCGGAGCAAAATGCCATTTAGCCGCCATTTGGATTTTGAGCATATTTGGGGCAGGGTTTCTAATTCATATTTTTCTTAAATTTTTGTGAATTATTCTTCATGAATTGTTGTATAGTATGTTTAATTCGTGTGGATCCTTGCAAAAATGATTTATTTATTGTATATGTGATATGTGATTATGTGTTAGTTGTCATTTTATGAGAAAACATGCCTTAAATGATTATATTACATGCCTTATGTATTTGAGTTGCTGGAAGTATTTGAGTTGCCGGAAATATAGTACGAAGCATGATATGTGTATTATATAATTTTTCTCCCAATTGTGTTTATGATTAAGAATTCAAATGTATAAAGAATTATGATATTTAAGACACATGGTGTGTTTATGTATTTTCAATGGGCATGAAATGGGTGAAAAGTTGTTTTAAAAATGCAATGAAATTGTTTTGGGAAAATATTTTTTGGAAAGTGTTTGTGAAAGCCGGACTCCTAGGAGGCGTCTAGTGATCCGTGGTGTTAATGTGATCTAGAGGGAAATAGAAAGAGACTATAGTGTGGTTGAGCTACCTAGCCCAGACAATGCCATGGAGCTGCCATGTGGTCGGAGAAAGCCAGCCAACCCTTCCCTTATGACACCATAGAGGTGCTATGGGTCGGGTTTCATTAACAATACGGTGAAAAAGAATTGTTTTGGAAAATGAGGAGCGACACTGACATGACATTGCACTTTATTTGCATATTTGGTGTATTTGTGCTACAATGACAATTATTTATAAGCTTGTAGTTATGGTTGTTGATATGCATTCCCTATGACATGATCCCATTTACTTTTTGCCTATTCTTTGCGGGAATTCACGAGGTCATAAGAGATATGTCTTAGACACCTCTTACTGAGCGGTTGACTCACCTCGTTTTATTATTAACATTTTTCAGGATACGGAAGAGAAGTAGCGGACGACGCTCCACCATAGGTTTTGACGCGTTAGTAGACTGTTTTAATATATTTTGTAGTTATGAACTTATTATTTATTATTATTATTATGTATTAACATAGGAAAGGATGGTAGTGCCCTTAGTTGACCTCGAGTTCGGATAAAGACTCGGTTAGTCATTCGGACCCTCGGGTTCGGGTCGTTACACATTAATGATTCTTTTATAACTAATGGACACTTAATTCAAATCTATTAATCAATACAAGCATTCACAGTATATGTTAGCAGATAAATAAGAAACTCAGATTTTATTAAAACTGGGAGTCAATTACTCTGTAGAACATACAATCCCAACATTCACACGTACGGGAAAATAACAAGAACAACAAAGATCTACTATAACTACTTCCCAGCTTATTTATGCCCATGAGTGTTATGGCTTGCAAATTCAATTCACTACAAAACCTCATATTGAATCTTTTAGGAGGTCTATCATACATGTGGAAATGGAATGGAAGAAGCAATTCATTTGTCGGCTTGTAGGTCAATCATGACTTGCATTGGGGTTTTTCCTCTTGTGGTGCCATTTTGATGTAGTTCCATGTACCCTTTGTAGGTGATGTGGTTGTGGCATTTGATCTCATTCTTCTCATCCACCAGTGGACTTGCAGGTGCAACTGTGGAGGTCAATGCAGGCCCATTGCCCACGGCTATTGATATCCTCGTTCTTTGTTTATTTGTCACGCCTCGATGCTTCAATGTTTTGTACCATCCATTGCTCAAAATCTAAGATCACAGAAATGTTGGTTACGATGGAAGGGGTTAGTACTGACATATATTGGACATATTGGTTAATATCTTATATATTAAAGTAAAATTATTACATAACAAATATTGGACTAACCTCCATGTAATCTCCTATGTTGACAACAAAAGACCCTGGCACTATTCCAACAGATACCCACTCTCCATCATGTTCAACTTGTAAGCCATCAACATCATTTTGCATCAAAACTGTAAGTCCACCATGATCAGAATGGTCTGGTATCTCAAGTGTTCGGTGTGGCTCTGGACATGGAGCATAATAATTAGAACCAACCACTTGAAAACCTCCTCCAAGTGACTTCTCTATGTAATCACCGTCAAGTCCTAAAGCTTCTGATAATGCACTTGCTATCTTCAGTTGCATCTGCCAATTTTGGCAATTAATTAAAATCACGAAATTGAAGAATGAAAATTGAGAAAAATGGTTCATTTAAAGATCAATATATATATACATATATACCTGTAGTTAGAGGGACTGCTAGGCCAAAGATTAGAGCTACTATGATGAGGACGGCCATGACCATGATGCCACATATAGTCCCTCCATATAGAATACTTGGAGGATGTATGCAGGCTTGTTCCATGCCCAGCAGAAGGTAGATTCATTGGATATTCATTTGTGTTATATTTCATCTTCTCTTCCCAAGAGGTTGAAAAACCCTACTACGGCCTCCAGCATTTCCTCCATTAGAGAGATCTTTATCCCGTGATTAACAACCTGCAATGTTAATTTTTAGTATTTTGGTATATACTTATCAAAGCAAGATATATTAACTTACAAAAGAAACAATATATATATATATATATATATATATATATATATATATATATATATATTAATGTCTAAAACATGCATGTAAACTAATAAACTATATATTACCCCGAAGATTCCCCACTCGGCACAGGCAGAATCGATGGCCTGAATAGTCCTCATTCTAGACTCAGCGGATCCATTGAGACCACTTAAATCGACGACAGGAATTGAAGCATGGCTGACTAATAATGGATTAGTGGTTAATGGCAAAACATATTCTGAAGGTAGGTTGGGTAAGTTAGGCCACATATCAGTAATGTACTTGACGCCCTTTTGGTAATCGCCACTAGTTGGCAGCTCACCGGAAAGAGTCTCGGTTGTGGCCGGAAGTTGACAAGTCATTGAGGTAGTAAGAGCCATGAGATTGAGATTGATTGAATGTAGGTTGTGTAATTAAGACAAATTTGAGTTCATATATATAGCCATTGTTGGTGCATCCCAACAATTGTTTTGTTTATATAATATGCATTTTGAAACAAACAATTGTATGCATACCAGCACATGCTTAATTATCTCTTAAGATTCTCTCCTCTCTCTCCAAACACCCGCCCACCACTTTCAAGAGACATTTAAAAATCCTTCTATTCCAGCACGTGATTAACACAAGTAATAACAAATATATATATATATATATATATATATATATATATATATATATATATAAAATTTCTTAACGCATGTAAAAGCATCCGCACCAGCCTCTCCAAATTTTGGCTCTCTAAAAATGCCACATCAGCTTTTCCAAGAGCCACATCAGCAATTCCAAGAGCTACGTCAGTAGTTTTCGCTCTCCAAAAACATGCACTCCATCAGACTCTCCGAATTTTCGCTCTCCAAAAAAAATAATAAAAAAAAATTAAAATTATTATTATTTTTTAAAACTTTTCCTAAACGGCTATATTTTTAACAACTATATTTTTAAAAATTGAATTTTTAACCGCTATATTTGTAACGGCTATATTTTTAAAATTTGAATTTTTATCAGCAATATTTTTAAAATTTGAATTTTTAACGGCTATATTTTAAAATTTTAAATTTTAAACGGCTATATTTTCATCTTATATAATGAAACTCATTTGCTCATTTGAAAATCATTACTATAATCATTTCTCTCCATTGTAGCAAAATATTATCATCCATCTTTTTCAATTTCGAAATTCGAATGGCTTCGTCATCACAAGCTTTTCCTCTAGTAGACACTAATTCTTCATCTTCCTCGTCATCCTCTTCGGAAGGTAATCCTTTTGGGGCGTTGATTCAACCGGATCAAGACGAATTCTATGAGATTATGAATTCAGTGAGGCCAGAGATAGTCGAGCAAGTTTTTTAAGTCCGTAAAAAGAAGCGGTACATTCATCGTGACCGAGAGGGAAGCCACTATCAGCTAATGAAAGACTACTTCAACGAGAGTTGCACATATCCACCGGAGTACTTTCACAGGCGATTCAGGATGCGACGAGAACTTTTTCTTCGTATCCTTAATGATGTCAAAGCTTATGATAACTACTTTGTCCAAAAAAAGGATGCAACTGGTCGTCTGGGGTTGTCTTCTATACAGAAGATGACAACTGCTGTTCGTATACTCGCATATGGTTGTGTAGCCGATCACTATGATGAGTATATTAAAATCGGCGAGAGCACTGCCATTAAATGCTTGAAGGTGTTTTGTAATGCTATTGTTGCTGTGTATGTAGAAGAGTATATGCGCCCACCCAACGAAGCCGACATAGCACGGTTGCTTGAAGAAGAGGAGCATAGAGGTTTTCTGGGTATGCTTGGTTCTATCGACTGTATGCACTGGGAGTGGAAGAATTACCCAGTGGAGTGGCAAGGCACACATAGGGGACGATCTGGTAAGAATACTCCCGTATTGGAAGCAGTTGCCTTACAAGATTTATGGATCTGGCATGCATTCTTCGGAATGCTGGGTTCACACAATGATATAAATGTGTTGGATCATTCCTCGGTATTCAACGGCATCATCAATGGCCAATTACCTCCGGTTAATTATGTAATGAATGGACATCACTTTAGAATGGGGTATTACCTGTCTGATGGTATATACCCTAAGTGGGAAACTTTGATACAGACCATCCCGCACCCAACCACTACAAAAGAAAATTTATTTGCTCAGCGACAAGAGGCAGTAAGAAAAGATGTGGAACGGGCTTTTGGGGTATTGCAGATCAAGTGGGCAATAACGCAAGGACCAGTATGTTACTGGGAGAAAGATGACTTGCGTCTCATAATGAAAATGTGCATCATCCTTCACAATATGATCGTTGAAGATGAGCGTCATGCAAATGTTGGAAGATGGACTCCGCCACCGGAGGATGCATTCCCGATTCCCACTTTAAGTCGATGCCCATCAATTTTAGCAGCACGCATATCCTCTCGCCAACCTCAGATTCGCAACAGAGAGACAAATACGCGGTTAAGGAATGATTTGATGGAAAATTTGTGGAACCGCTATGCTGATGAAGATGTTTAATTTATGTTGCATTTTGTTTGCTTTTAAGATGTTATGACATTTCGTGTACTAGAATTTTTATTATGTAATGATTTTTTAAGATTAAAAATAATGAATTGGAATAAGAAAATAAGTATTAGAAAATTTTATCGGAATAAGTAGATGAATTTGTAATTTTAATTTTTTTTTTATTACAAAAAGTGTTAAAAAAAAAGCTTTTTTTATTTATTTTTGGCCCAAATAAATAAAGATTACAAAATAAGGATTAAAAATAATGAATTGGAATAAGAAAATAAGGATTACAATTTAAAGCAAAAAAACAAGAAAACAAGTTTTAAGGAAAAAAAAACAAAAGCTTTTTCAATTTATTTTTGGCCCAAATAAATTTTTTTTTTAAGGATTACAAAATAAGGATTAAAAATAATGAATTGGAATAAGAAAATAAGGATTACAATTTAAAGCAAAAAAAAAAAAACAAATTTTAAGGATAAAAAACAAATAAAACAAAAGTTTTTTGAATTTATTTTTGGCCCAAAGAAATTTTTTTTTTTTTCAATAAATAGTGCATAAACAATATATATATATTTTAATGAGTTTTATTTTAATTTTTTTTTCCTAAAAAGAGTTAAAAATAACCTATTTTTAGGTTTAAAAAAAAAAAATTATGCCAAACAGTGCCTTAAGGCACTGTTTGGAGCACTGTGCAATTACTAGCTAATAAGACAAAATAGTAGTTGCCCAAAATTTCAGCGATCGCAGGCCGGCTTGTAATACCCCAAGTTTTCAAAAGGGTCAAATGGGGATTTAATTTTGTTTAATTGATTTAATTATGTGACTTAGTTGTTTTGTTTTTTTTTTTAAAGTGATTAATTGTGGTTGCTTAAATGATTTTAATTGTTTTGTTTCCTTATTTAAATTAAGTGTTGTATTATTTGTTAATTTTTTTTTTAGTTAATTGGTGTATTTGATTTATTTATTTACATGTATTAATTGGCTGTTATTAATTATTGTAATTACATAATTGTTTAATGTAGTTAATTCACGGTTTATGGGAGCTGGTATATCGTGACTTAGGGTTTTAGGTGTCAAGATGTAGCCGCCTTGTTATTTTGCCTATTAAGATGTTTTATTCTCAGAATACAACTAGAATTAGGGTTTAGGGTTTATAAGTCTATAAATATACATATGTACATTCTACCTAGGGTTGCAAACAAATAAATTTCTCGGAGAAACAGAGGGAGGAGTTAGAGAGAAACGCAGAGTATCCTTGGTTGATTATTAAAGCAATTCAAAGAGGAAGGCATGGGGTGTTTCTAGGTTGAACTAAAGCACTGGAGGAGCAGACTTGCTGTTAGGACACAAACGTATCTTACAGAAACTATGGAATTAGAGTTTCAAATCTGAAACTCCAAGGCAAGTTTCTGATCTTCTCTTTCCCAGGAATTTGTGTTATGTGCATGCTTAGTTACACTCCAGGAATTAAAGTAAGACTTAATGACATCGTTTATACATGTTGTAATAGTATTAAACATCATTGAATATAATCTGTTTTCATAGTTTTACACGTTCAGCTTAAAATCTTATTGTCGATGCTTTACAAATTGATGTTTAGTTCCGTTCTTGTTTGTATAACTCTGTCTTGTGGTTACTCTGGGATGTGAGTGGGATCTTAAAAACTGAAATTAAACATGTTAAATAAGTTTCTAGCATGATGGAATTGAATCTGTTTCTCAGTCGACTACAAGTTCAGTCTTTTGTATGGTTGCCGTTGTTTCAAACTTTGATCTGTTATTCAACTAAAAGGGGTATAACTCTGTCTGGTGATTTATCTGGGATGAGGATAGGACTTTAAAATCTGTAATAAAACTATTTTTAAAGACTGTAACCGCCGGAGTCGAAGATGGCAGATGCAGAACAAGCCAGGGCTCTTAGGGGTTAGAGTAGGCTCCAAAAATAGAGCGAGCCTGCTCCCAAAACACTAGAGCCGGCTCTCTAGGGGTGAGAGCCGGCTCCCACCCATCTAGAGCCGGCTCCCAAGGAAGGGGAGCCAGCTCTCCTAAAGTGGAGAAGGCTCTGAGAAACTTAGAGCCTTCTCTTTCTCTTAAAGGTGCGTAAAACTGAAATTTTATGTTCTGTTTGGCTGAGTCTGGGTTTCTGGAATGGTTTAAAGGCTGTTGAGTGAGGAAATACACTGCTTATGATGTATAAAATAATTAAGAACCAAGCTTACATTCTGAATCTGGGACAGAATTAACATTAGTTTGATCAAAGGTCTAAATGTGGTTAAGGGAGCAACTGGCTTGTGTTGCAGACTGATGTGAAATTTGTTTTCTTTGCCTGGTCTTAAGTTTGAATCATGGTCTGTAGTTGAGTTATGAACATTATGTTATTTAAATACATGTATGCTTGGTTTGGATTGACTGATAGCTTAAATCTATTATATATCTCATTTGCTACAACACTGTCTGGAAGAGATTTGATTTCTTTACATGTTCTTAGGTTTTGAAGCATGGTTGGCAGCTCTGTTATAAGCAGGTTGTTATTCAATTATGTGTATGTGTGTTTGGAATAGTCTGATGCTTAATTCAGTACATAAATGCACAATTATAGTACTGTTTGGAGAAGGAAGTTGCATAAACCTGTTATATCAACTTCATGGACTGAAACTTGGGTTCTAAGTCTTTCAGTGGAGGCATGACTTAGTTACACCCATGTTTAACTATATTTATGTTGGACCAAATTTATATACACCTTGCTACGGAACTGCATCGATTTATGTACAAGTTGAGGAATATGAATGCTTAGATTATTTTGGCAGTTTACATTATTGGAATGTTATAGTTAGGCCTTATAATGAATGCCTAATATTGATATATATGTATTTAGATTATAATGGTGCATATTTTGGAGAATGGTTGTTGAATACATTGTGTTATTTGTAAACTATACTATTTGGAGGGTTGTATGCACCGGTATGGGACGGTGGCATATTAGGGACGGATTAGTTAAAATACTAACTCCTACCTATTTTGGAATAAGTTGAATTAACTATAAAAGTTAAGTTCTACTTGTATGGATATATATGCACCGGTATGGGATGGTGGCATATTAAGGATGGCTTAGTTTTAAAAAAAATACTAAGACCTACCTATTCTGAAATAAGATGGATTAACTACAAAAGTTAAGTCCTACTTATAACTTTGTGTCAGGTCAATAAGCTTTTTGAATGACACACTTTGAACGGACTTTATATATTTATGTTATGGTGCCATGGTATGAGCTTGAGTCTCAGGACCATGGTTAGGGTGCGTATATCACCTAGGATGGATAACTGGACAATGGTTTTGTTCCTTGGTAGGTCTAGGTACACATGACCACATTACGTGCGATTTGCATGGTATCTCTACTCAGGCTGAGACATACCTATTGGACTAGTGAGCGTCCTATAGTGTGTAATATATACATATATGGACTATTCTAGATATTGTTGAGTCTATCTAAGATGTATCTGCGTATCGAATTCCTGCTTGGATCGTAGTAGATCAGGACTTGCATGTGGGCCTAACCCACTCTTTTATTTTTTCAGGTATTCTCCAGTACCAGGCTTAGAGATTGATCGTGTTGATGCAGATATGGACACCCATTCTTCCTATTACATAGGATTTCCTTTCTATTTTGGTTTTGGGATTTTAATACTGTAAATTTATTCAAGGATTTGGGATTAGGGGTCCACTAGGTGGATTCCCGAGTTGTACAGATTTGGAGGATTTAAATGTTATTAATTTTATTATCTTAAGTTGAGGATTTTTATTTTAGAATTCTTTAAGCGTATTATTAATTTGTTCTTAATTCAGTTTTATTTCTACTTGTTTACATATTGATTGTTTGGTATCCCTCGGATCTGTGCTCGGACTTGATCACCTGTGGCTCTAGAAACGAGGGGTATCACATGGCCCGCGGTCTGTCGCGAGCCGGCCCGCGATCGCTAGTCGGCCCCAAGTTTTATAGCTAGCCCGCTGCACTAACAACAGTCCATTTGCTTGCTGAAATTGGGCTCTAAAGAGCCCGTTGTGGATGGCTTAACCAACACTAATAAAAACAACATCGTTAGAATACATGGTACCGATGGGTAATCACTCATACCATTGAATATTAAGCTCAGATGGTTGGAAGGAGAGCTTGGGTGCTTCAGTATTGTGAATAAAATATTGTGCTGATTGATTACCGTTATTTATAATATATACAGAACACGCTGCATATGTAGTGTGATCTGTTAACTAACACGAGTTAGAGCAACAATTAAGCTACTACTTGCTAAAAAAACAAAACAATTAAGCTAGCATATTTTGACTACTTATGAGAGATCGAATTATTAATGACAAAATCCTCCAAAGCTGACATATTTTGACTTTGTCTCCTTTTACCCATGAACTCTTATATACTGAAGGCATTCCACAAGCTTTTAGTCTATGGCTGTCTCAGAAACATGAGAGATCTAATTGTTAATGATGAAATCCTGTAAAGCTTTAGGGTAGCTTTGGGGGATGGGGTGACCTTCTAGATGAATTGCCCATTGCTGAATTGTGTTTGACTTAGATTCTCTCTCTCCAAGCACCCGCCCGCCACTTTCACCCTACCCGAGACCCATCAACCACTTAATTGTGAGATATATTTTATAATTAGCTAATTTTGTTGTCAAAACAAATCTGATCGAGTTGTAATTTTTCGGTTCACAATTTCAAGGTTGAAGATTAGATGCGGATTTGAAGAAGTTCAAGTGTTCATAATTTACTACACTCCGGAATGATAAAAACAATGCTTTAGAAAGGTATGTGAGTTAGTGAGGATACTTTAGGAAGTTTAGAAGGTTGAAGGAAACAGAGATTTCACTTCTGTCCATCGGGAACGGGTAGGAGAATCCTTGAACCGGTAGCAAACCTTGATCCACAACAGGTTTGTTCACTGCCAACCTTGAACTGGTACCACAGTTGGGAACCGATAGCCAAATTGCGTCGGAAAGG